AAGAAGAGAAAGAAAAAGGAGGAGGAGAATCAAGGAGGAGGAAGAGGAGAAGGAGAAGGAGAAGGAGAAGGAGAAGGAGAAGAAGAAGAAGAAGAAGAAGAAGAAGAAGAAGAAGAAGAAGAAGAAGAAGAAGAAGAAGAAGAAGAAGAAGAAGAAGAAAACTTTGAGATCCGAGATGGGATGGATGAAATGTCGAGACCAGCCACACTTACCACAAGCTCCTTTACTCATCACTTTAATGCGACGCTGCTGGTTGCACTGAGCTTTCTCCAGCTCACATTCGTTGCTGTAGGTCGAGTAATCTGAGCCGCACACCGGAGCCACCACTGAAGGGCAGGCCGCCTTCTTACAAACGCAGACGCCTTGGGAAGAGTCCGTGGGGTTCTTCTCGCAGACAGCTCCGAAGCCACACAGCATCCCTCGACAAACTGCGGGTGGAAAGGAAAATAAAGAGTTACGCTCTGCACGGGCGGAAGGATTTAAAAAAAAAAAAACAGGCTGAGGTTTCTAGTCCATATGAAGTAGGAATTAGCGCCATGGAAACAAAATGGGATGCAGTGACATTGTAGCGATGTCCAGAAGAGGTGGTGGGCATGGACTTCAATGAATTCAACCTTAGATCCAGTTCACACAACTTGGTATTTATAATTCATTTATGTCTTTCTAGATAAAGATTCCCCTCGCACCTGGGTGTTAGTTGTTCCCAACTCTAGGGGGCGGTGCTCATCTCCGTTTCAAAGCCAAAGAGCCAGCGCTGTCCGAAGACGCCTCCGTGGTCATGTGGCCGGCATGACTCAACTCCCAAAGGCGCATCAAACGCTATCACCTTCCCACCAAAGGTGGTCCCTATTTTTCTACTTGCATTTTTTACCTGCTTTCGAACAGCTAGGTTGGCAGAAGCCGGGACAAGTCACGGGAGCTCCCTCCGTTACGCGGTGCTGGGGATTCAAACGGCCGACCTTTCTGATCGACAAGCTCAGTGTCTTAGCCGCTGAGCTACCCAAATGTTACTCTTGGCTATTTTGGAGGCATTAGTAGAAGGAGACGAATTCCCCAGGTAGAGCTGGTGTACAATTCGGTGTAACGTGTGAATCCATCACCTGGATTCACAGCGTAATAAGGCCTAAGCCTTATAACATAGTCTGTCTTGAGAACAGAGCCTGCCTCCCAAAATCTGTGCTTCCCCACGGCCCTTTTGGCCAGAGACCGGATGAATTGATGAGGAAGGAAGGAAGGAAGGAAGACATGTAATGAAGTCATAAATCTGATTTCCAAAAAGAGGGGAGGGAGGAGGGCAGTTGGCCCAGCCTGTAGATCTCCCTCTTCCTCCCCTCCCCATGCACAAAAATGAACAATGATATAATTCCCAGCAACCCCCTAAGGCAGGAGGTGAGGGGTGCTGGGAGCTGTAGTTCAACCATAAGGGCAGAGCCAGCTCAAATGAAAAAAAAGACTTTCATACAAATCATTTTACCTACACAACCTGGCCATAATTCTATACAGGATGTTGTGAGATCCCTCCCTCTCCCTCCCTCCCTCTCATTCGCTCTGTTTTTCTCTCTCCTCTCCTTCCTCCCTCTCTCCTCTCTTTTTGTCTGTTTCTCTTCCTCCCTCTCTTCCTCCCTGCCTCTCTTTCTGTTTCTTTCTTTCTCCCTCCCTCTTTCTTTCTCTTCCTCTCTCCCTTTCTCTCGCTCTTCTCTGTTTCTCTCTTTCTGTGTTTCTCTCCCTCTTCCACCCTCCCTTCCCTCTTCTCTCTCTCTCACTTTCCCCCCTCTCTGTACGTTTTTCTTTCTTTCTTTACCTCTCCCTCCCCCTCCCTCTCTTTTTGTCTTCCTCCCTCTCTCTCCCTCCCTCTCTTTCTCTGTTTCTTTCTTTCTTTCTCCCTCCCTCTTTCTTTCTTTCTTTCTCTTCCTATCTCCCTTTCTCTCACTCTTCTTCTCTTTCTCTTTCTGTGTTTCTCTCCCTCTTCCACCCTCCCTCCCTCTTCTCTCTCTCTCTCACTTTCCCCCCTCTCTATACGTTTTTCTTTCTTTCTTTTCCTCTCTCTCTCTCCCTTCCTCCCCTCTCTTTCTTTCTCTTGGTTTCTCTTTCTCTTCCTCTCTCCCTTCCTTCCTACCCCCCTCTCTCCCCCTTCCTTTCTCTCTGTTTCTCTTCCTTTCTCTCTCCCTCTTTTTTCTGTTTCTTTCTCTCTTTCTCTTATTTCCTCCCCCTTCTCCCTCTTTCTTTGTTTCTCCTTTCTCCCTTTCTCTCTCCCTTCCTCCTCTCTTGCCCTTCCCCTTATCTTTCTTTCTGTTTCTTTCTTTTTCTCTTCCTTCCTCTTTTTTGTCTGTTTCTCTCCCTCTCTCTTCTCTCTTTCTCACACACACACTTTCCTCCCTCTCTATTTTTCTTTCTTTCTCTTCCTCTGTCCACCTTCCTCTCCCCTCTTTCTCTTCCTCTCCCTTCCTTCCTACCTCTCTCTCCCCTTTTTTCTGTCTGTTTCTCTTTTTTCGCTCTCTCTTCCTTCCTCCCTTTCTGTTTCTCTTTCTCTTGCTTCCTCCCTCTCTCCCTCTCTCCCTCTTTCCTTGTTTCCCCTTTCTCTTTCTCTCTCCCTGCCTCCTTCTCTCTCTCTCCCTCTCTGTTTCTCTTCCTCTCTCTTCTTCCCCCTCTCTGTTTCTCTCCCTCTCTCTTCTCTCTTTCTCTCACACACACTTTCCTCCCTCTCTGTTTTTCTTTCTTTCTCTTCCTCTCTCCATCTTCCTCCACCCTTTTCTCTTCCCCTTCCTTCCTTCCTACCTCTCTCTCCCCTTTTTTTCTCTCTCTCTCCCTTCCTCTCTCTCTCTTTCTTTTCTCTTTCTCTTCCTTCCTCCCTCTTTCTGTTTCTCCTTTCTCTTTCTCTCTCCCTGCCTCCTTCTCTCTCTCTCCGTCTCTGTTTNGAGGGAATGGAGATTTTGTAATATCCTTCCCCTGGAGTGGGGTGGAAATTGAGATTTTGCAGCATCCGTCCCCTGGAATGTGGAGGGAATGGGGATTTTGCAATATCCTTCCCCTAGAGTGGGGTGGGAATGGGGATTTTGCAGTATCCTTCCCCTAGAGTGGGGTGGGAATGGGGATTTTGCAATATCCTTCTCCCTGGAGTAGGGAGGGAATGGAGATTTTGCAATGTCCTTCTGCTGGAGTGGGGTGGAAATTGAGATTTTGCAGTATCCTTCCCCTGGAGTGGGGAGAGAATGGGGATTTTGCAATATCCTTCCCCTGGAGTGGGGTGGAAATTGAGATTTTGCAATGTCCTTCTGCTGCAGTGGGGAGGGAATGGAGATTTTGCAGTATCCTTCCCTGGAGTGCAGAGGGAATGGGGATTTTGCAGTATCCTTCCCCTGGAGTGGGGAGGCAATGGGAATTTTGCAGTATCCTTGCCCTGGAGCGGGGAGGGAATGGAGATTTTGCAGTATTCCCCTGCCATGCCCACCAAGCCATGCCATACTCACTCACTAAGCCATGCCCACAGGTAGTAAAAAAAATGAATTTCACCACAGTCTTTGGGATAACCATGACCTGGAGGACTGAGAATCTCTACAAACATTTAGCTATGCAATTTGGGATGAAGACCCTTGGAAGGGTGTGGCAGGACGAATGGATTTCCCGAGGGGAAAAAAATGGCAAAATTGTCATTGCCTGCAAGCCATCTTTTCTTTTGGACTTCTTTTGGCCTGCCACCCTTTCTGCTGTCTACTTTCTATTGTGTGGGAAAATGTGATGGGGGAGTTATATGGGGTGGGGTGATATGTAGCCATAACAACATTCTTCTTAGAAAATCAAGGTCATCTTTGTCTCTGCACCTGGCTGGAACTGGATGGGTGGAATCTTTCCATGGCATTGAAAGATTGGACCATGTGATGGACTTGTGGGTGGGGGGGTTGGGCAGGATCTTGAACTTTCAACTGGATGGGGAAAACCGGGAAGCTTTCAGATTCGGGTTTCCCCAGATGTGCCAACGAGACGTCTCTAATAAATTGGAACTTTGACGAAACACAAGCCCCGGAGTTTTATTTCATTGGGGGTGTTTTTTGGAACCCTGACATGACTACAAGCACAATTTACAGCACTCAGGTGACCCTGGGGACACAGATAAACCTTTAAGTGGCCTCAACGACCCTCTAAAAGGATGCAAATGACCAGCTGTCTGCAAGGAATACACCGTATTTTTCGGAGTATAAGCCGCACTCCACTCTCCTAAAAATGGGTGAAAATTTCGGTGCGTCTTATAGACCAAATGCGTGTTAGGCCTGCAGCCATCTTTTCTTTTGGATCTTTGGCATGCCACACTTTCTATTATTCTACTACGCATTTTCTATGGTGGGAAAATGGGAGGAGAGATCACACGGAGTTGGGTGATATGTAGCCATAACAACATTCTTTCTAGAAAGCCAAGGTCATTCTTTGTCTCAGTACCTCTGCACCTGACCGGAACTGGATGGGTGGAAGCTGCCAGAGTGGCAGTGGGAGATTGGACTATGGGATGGACTTGTGGGTGTTGGGGCCAGGATCTTGAACTTTCAACTGAGTGGGAAAACGGGAAGCCTTCAGATTTGGGTTTTCCCAGGTGCGCCAACATGGCTCTCTTAATCAATTGAGGAATCTTTTGCCTTGGACTCTGATTTATTTTTGGATGCAATTTGGAACTCTGACAATACGGGTCTGTTTGGGGGCTCCTGAATCCTCCAGGCGCCAATGCTGGGTAATGAAATGTCTGCAAGAAAACAACTGAGCTCAGGGAGACCAAGGACCCCACAGTCCAGTGGTAGATTTCGGGAGGTACGGCCCGGTATGGGCGTACCGGTAGTAGCTAGGAGCAGTGGCCACCGTACCGGTATGGTGGCTCGTTTGGCCCACCCGCCTTCCTGCTTTTCATGGCTGTTTATAACGTGACCGGCCCATTGCTCACGCATGCACAGCGTGCGGCGCCTGCGCGACCTCCGCCGAGAAGCTGGGTGCTGCAGAGCAGTGGCGTGCGCATTGCACGTGCCCATTTAGGATACCCGGCCCCATGCGCAGTGTACATGCTGCACCGGCGTCCAGAACCCACCACTGCCACAATCCTCCTCCTCCTCCTCCTCCTCCAAACTTTGCTCTCTTGTAGCATTGATGATGTTACCTAGTTGGGTCATGAAACGTCTGGAAGCAATCCACCAAATTCAAAGGACGCTATACGTTCCACAAAATTTTTTTGCCACACTAAAAAGGCTCAAGTATTTGACGCACGCCCCCGGAATTATTAAGTTTCCTTGACATGGAAACTCCGGGGACTGTTTGCTCCATCGAGTTCATCAAGCAAAGTGTGGAATGAGAGTGGAATGGCAACAAGGAGACGGCCTTAATGTGCCTATAAGCAAAATGTAATTAGAGAGAGACATTAAGAGGCTGCCGGCTGTTTCTAAGATGGGGACAGTGTCTTATTTATAAGGTCCTTTATTTATTTAATTACCTCCCTCCTTCATTAGACATTTCCCCCACCCACCCACCCAAGCCCATAACCCATTGTTAATTATTTTCAATAAATCAGGATGACACATCCCTCTCTCTGTGTCTCTTTCTCTCTTTTTTTCTCTTCCTCTCTCTGTCCCTGCTGCCTTCTCTCTTTCTCTGTTTCTGTTTCTTTCTGTTTCTTTCTCTCTCCCCCCTTTCTCCCTCTTTCTTTTTGTTTCTCTTTCTTTCTCTCTCCCCCTTTCTCCCTCTTTCTTTTTGTTTCTCTTTCTTTCTCTCTCCCCCTTTCTCCCTTTCTTTTTGTTTCTCTTTCTTTCTTCCTCTCTCCTTCTCCTTTTTCCTTTTGCTGTTTCTCTCTCCTCCTTTCTTTCTCTATCTGTTTCTCACTCTCACTCCCTCTTTCTTTTTCTTTTTCTCTTTCTTTCTGTTTCTTTCTCTTTCTCTCTCCCTTCCTCCCTCTCTTCCACTTTCTTTTTCTGTTTCTTTCTCTCTTTTTTCTCTCCCTTCCTCTTTCTTTTTCTGTTTCTCTTTTTCTCTCCCTCTCTCCCTTCCTCCCTCTTTCTTTTTCTGTTTCTCTTTCTTTCTCTCTCTTTCTCTCTCCCTTCCTCCCTCTTTCTTTTTCTGTTTTTTTCTCTCTCTCTGTTTCTTTCTCTCTCCCTTCCTCNGGGGGGAAGAAGAACGACTGTCAACCCTGAATCTGACCTGACCAAAGCCATTTTGGAAGCTTCAGCATTGCCACGCCAGAGCTGAGGGATAGGGAAGGGGGATTTGAGATAGCTGGGATTTGGTAGCCAAAACAAAATGCTTTCTCTCAGGAACCAAGGTCATTTTCACACCTGGTCGGAGGAAGGCGGAGTGATGTCACCAGGCAACCAGATAGCGCCATGATCGGACCATGTGACTGATTGTTTTGAGAAAGTGACAAACGTTTACTTTTAATTAGGTGAAAACCGCGGGAAGGACGGTTGTAAAACGGGGCAGTTCAGAAATGCTTAGCCATTTGCTGAACAACTGTGGCAAGGATGGTTGCAAAACAGGGTGGGGTCAGAAATGCCTCACTTAGCAACGGACGTTTTGAGCTCTGCTGTGGCCGTAAATCAAGGGCCACCTGTACAGATTGATGCGGAGTTCCTTGTGAGCAAATGAGTGTGAACAGCTTGGATTAAAAATAGCCCAGCCAGGATTTGACCTCTTGGATCTCAGCTTAACCAGATCATCTTCGTTTCAATGCTTGGATAGAGTTATCAGAAAGCGAAAAAACGCCAGCCTGCAGATCATCTGGATACAGGAACTGGCTAATCCCCTTCTCAGCTTCTCCGCAGGGGCGTTTTCAACACCTCCCTGGCTGATAATACCAAGAGAAGCGGCAGACTTGAGGCTCCCTTAATAACTGAAATGCAAAAATGTATGTTTGGTCCTTCTCCCCCCCACCCAAAAAAAATGCAGCACCACGCAGAATACCTAGATCTCGGAATCAGCCCAAGAGGGACAATAGATTAACATGTCGCCATGGAGACCGAAGAACCATGTGTGTGCGTGTGTCTCTGTTTGTGGGGGGGGGGACAGGAAACAAATCACACCTTAACCCCTGAAGACAACGTGCAGAGAGAGATCAGAGGTGTCCGCTTGGATTCCTGTGGGCTTTTGCAGAAGAAAGAAAGAAAGAAAGAAAGAAAGAAAGAAAGAAAGAAAGAAAGAAAGAAAGAAAGAAAGAAAGAAAGAAAG